TACATACTCACCAGGGAGGAAGAATCAAGGCTTTGCATTGCCCCCGCCCCGTCCTAGAGATGGATTGTGCTATATGGGTTTCATATCCCGCAGTGTCACTCACCTGGAGGTTAAGTTTCTGTCAATGGAATAAAGATTAAAGCAATTTTCAATTCTCTCTCCTGCAGTCACTCACCCCCGATACACCTCAATCCTCTGGACCAGATTTGGGGGGGGGGGCTGCAAGGTGGAGGGGGGTGATAAAAAATGGCTTCTCTCCTTGTTCTGCTGATAGACATCTTACCAGCTGAGTGAGATCACTGGGTATTATCCAGTGTTCTTTAAAAGTATCCCTTGAAACTGAATGTCTAGCATGTCATTTGTCCTGCATTGTTCAAGAAGCTGTAGTCTCCTATGGAAAACTGCAAAAATCACAGGTTGGGATAAAGAGTAGAAGCAAAGGTGTTTGTCTTATTTGTTCCACTTGTTTGCCCCTCGCATGCATGTAATAACTACATAATTGTATACCTTGCCAGGAAACAGAACAAGTTGTGAAATTTCTTCCTCTGGTTGTTCTTAGTGACTGGAGCAGCATACCTGAAAGATGGTTTATACCTCAGGGCATCCTCTGATGCAGGATGTTGACAGATATGTGCAGTCCCTCAACAGTGTTGATTTTATAGTATGTGCTGACTGTTTTCACACATGAGTCTGTCAGCTGTAATAATACTAAGATTAGCATCTGTTGCATCAGTGAGAGAAGAGGTGTTTTTCAGCTTCTGGCTATTCCATAGTGGTAAGAAGCTTAGTTTTAAAAATAATAATAATAATAAGGTAGAATGCAAAGATGAAAAGTGAACCCCATATGTAAGAAGTAGAGCTACATTTCTAACATCAAAGAAATACATGCTTCTGGTTCTACAGGTTTTAATTCCCAACACCTTTGACAGATTCTGAGCAGAGCAGACATACTTGATGGAACTCCACTGGAGGGCACTTTGAAATCATGCTGCTCTGCCTCCTCCTCTGAACACAAGAACATCCCTGCCAGATTAGACCAATGGACCATGTAGTCCAGCAGCCTTGTCCCACAGTGGCCAACCAGATGCCTACGAGAAGCCTATAAGCAAAATATGAGTGCAACAATGCTTTTGCCCACTGCTATTTTTCTAGAAAAAGAGGTGCCAAAACTCACCGTGAACCCCTCCCTCGTCCTCTTAGAATGGCAATGGAGCCCACCTGGGAGGTGCTGGAACTGAATTCCAGCTGACAAAAAGGCCCTGCTCTTGCCACTAGTGATTTCCAGCAACTGGTATTCAGAGGCAGACCGTCTCTGTCGCTGGAGGAAGTACGCAGCCATAATGGCAAGCGGCTATTAAGAGCCTTATCCTCTGTGAATTGGCCTAATTCCCTTTTAAAGGCACCCAAGTCGGTGACTATTTCTCCTTCTTGCCTGATATTCATTTCTAGAAAGAAACAGTTCGCTTAGAGCAGATATAAATAGTGACCATCTTACTGTTTTCTGAAGTGTTTCCCTGAGCACCTGGCCAAGGATGAAGTGATGCTGGGGACTAGCCACTCCCCAGATCCTGACATACTGCTTGTACAATTGGAACCATAGGTAAAGTGAACCCTGACCATTAGGTCCAGTCGTGGCTGACTCTGGGGTTGCGGCACTCATCTCGCTCTAAAGGCCAAGGGAGCCAGCATACAGCTTCCAGGTCATGTGGCCAGCATGACTGAGCCACTTCTGGCGAACCAGAGCAGTGCATGGAAATGCTGTTTAACTTCCCGCCAGAGCAGTACCTATTTATCTACTTGCACTTTGATGTGCTTTCGAACTGCTAGGTTGGCAGGAGCAGGGACCGAGCAACAGGAGCTCACCCCATCGCAGGGATTCGAACCGCCAACCTTCTGATCGGCAAGTCCTAGGCTCTGTGTTTAACCCACAGCGCCACCCGCGTCCCTTAATTGGAACCATAGTATGCCACAAAAAGAGGAGCCCCATCAGAGAGGGCAGTGCTTGAAGGTTATTCATTTATCGTCCTCCCCCCCCCAAAAAATAACCCCAAGTGATTTACAAAATTGACTTAAAACCAAATTCAATGATAGAATAGAAATAAAGGCACAGCAAGAGACAGATCTAATATATCCCCTTCCACTAAAAGAGGCCATATTCACTTAAAAACTTCTAAATTAAGGGCTGAAGGCCTTGGTTAAAAGAAAAGTTATGGCAGGTTAGCAGGGCCAGCTCAGCTGTTAGGCAAGGTGAGGTTCCTTGCCGGCACTGCTGCCTCCGCCAGCAGCTCAGAAATGTCAACATTGGTGTTGATTTGGAGTGAGATCTCACCCAAAAACAGCACAATATTGTCACAGATCTGTGCTGATGGTGGTGGTAGATGAGGCAGGGTGTGTGGCAGCAGCAGAGTGGGCAGGGGAGGCAGCGGCAGATATGGTGGTGGCAGGAGCGGCCGCAATGGCAGGGCAGGGCAGCATTTCCCATCTCACCTCAAGCAGCAAAACAGGATGCACCGACCCTGCAGATAAGGTGGGGGAGGCTTATGTTGAAATGTTGAAACTCCACTTCCTGACTTCTGACATTTAGAATCAAAGTATGCCCTCTCTGCAATTTTCTTAAAAACTGTTCCAGTGATGAGCATGCCACAAAAGGTAAGGGTGATGGTGCCCATTCACTCACCCAAATAATTTGAGCGCTGGTAGAATTTCACCTGGGACGCGGGTGGCGCTGTGGGTTAAACCACAGAGCCTAGGACTTGCCGATCAGAAGGTCGGCAGTTCGAATCCCCACGACGGGGTGAGCTCCCGTTGCTCAGTCCCTGCTCCTGCCAACCTAGCAGTTTGAAAGCACGACAAAGTGCAAGTAGATAAATAGGTACCGCTCCAGCGGAAAGGTAAACGGCATTTCCGTGTGCTGCTCTGGTTCGCCAGAAGCAGCTTAGTCATGTGGCCACATGACCCGGAAGCTGTATGCCGGCTCCCTTGGCCAATAAAGCGAGATGAGCGCCGCAACCCCAGAGTCGGCCACGACTGGACCTAATGGTCAGGGGTCCCTTTACCTTTACCTTTAGAATTTCACCTAAAATGTTGCTTTTCACCTAAAGCAAAAGTTAGAATTAATTTGAGGGTTGCTCCGCAGGTGACACATCCAAAAATTTGGAAGAAAGCCCTCAAGGATGGGCAAATTTGCTCAGGGGAAATGGTTGCACATCTGCATCTCAAAGTGAATCAATCCAATCGACTTGAGCAAGAAAGCCAAGCCATGGCTTGCAAGGAAAGGCTGGATGTTGCAATCTGCTCTGGTCATCAGTAAGATCCTGAGAGGAAGCAGAACTCACTCATAATGTCACCTAGCAATAATATTGGGTGCAACATCACAACAGCAACCAACATCCTCACTTCCATCTGACTCACTTCTAGCAGCAGTTTGGAGCTCTCCTGCTCACAAAGGCTTCATCATTAATGCCGCGTGAAAGAGCAGCTCTGAAAGCAAGGGTGTACATACACAGTTGCCCTCTCCATGAATGGGCATGAATGGGCAAGCCCACACTTAGAGGAGTTCTATGTGTATGCAGGATTCTGGATGAGGGTACTTATTTCTAGTTACATCCCAATTTATTAGAAGAGCCAGGGGGATATTTACTGCTTACATATATTTCCCACCTTCCACTCATCATGTGTAATGATATCTGGCAGGCAAGCAAGCCTCAATAAGAAGTAATGTCTTTCCGGCAGTTTTATGTACGTTTATTTACAAAACAAAACACCAAAACCCACATCTAGAGCATGGCTTCTCGCCTGCTCACATTGATGATAGTTGGTCAGTCTGAATCTTCACCCCTCCCACGGCAGGAAGGATGCCAATCTCTTGCCTTTCCCCTCTTGCCCTTCTGTTACCCTCTGATCTTATCCCGTCTCCTAGAAGGGGGCCTGAGAGGCTGGCCTCCACCCTCCCCACTTCCACTTGACACAGTCTCAGACCTCTGCTTATCTGCTGATTGCCTTGCAACACTCTGGCTGCCTTCCAACTCTTCCTCTTCTTGAGAGCTAAGAGAGTCTTCCCCAGGGAGGGGAGTCAAACTGCCCTTTCTTGACTCTGTCAGCCAGCTCTCCTCTGCAGAGTCGGTCCCTTGTTCACTTACTTCAATTTCTGATTCTGACTTTCCCCCTGTGCTCTGGGGGCCCACGTTCCTGAAATCATTAGAAGATGCTGCATGTGGGATACTTAGGTGGTTTCCCATCCAGGCACATACCAGATGCCCAGACCAGCTTAGCTTCAATAAGGTGGCAGCCCCAATTGCCTTCACATGTGATTGTAACTAATTTTTATCACATTTCTAACCTCCCATTCCCCAGGGTAGTTCTCTTAGTTCTCTCCCTTATATGTTGCTTATGGCAACCCTGTGATGGTCAGTTAGGCTGAAAGACAGTGACTCAAACATCTTGGTTAATTTGTATTTGGGTGGTAGCAACTCTAACAGAATGGTGTTGCTAACAGAACAGGTCATCCTACCTGTTAAGAATATTACAACTGAGAGGTGTCTAAATGTAAATAAGCAATTGGGCATCACATAATTTTTATAGTCTTATTAAATTGGGAGCCATGGGATGTAGCTCTTATAGCAAGCCACCTAGCAAGGCTGTTCCTGCAAGTTAGTATTTGAATTACCAAACCTAGAATAAATTTGCTAAACTATAATTAATTCAGAGAGTTCCTAAAATGCATAATTTCTTGTGCAGCAGCTTTGCAAACGAAGCATTTATATAGATCCCCCTTAGCATTTCGCTGGGGAATTTATGTTTACTTTGCTGTTTTGCAATGGTGTTTTAACTGCTGGCAGGCAAAAACCAAACCCAAAGGAAGGCCTCATATTACTTTTTTTCTGAATTAACCAAGCCCATATATTGCAAACAGATATAAAGCAGAAGCTTAAGAGTGTCCTATTAGAGGGGACCCTTTCTTGCTTTTCTGCTGCACTGACATTGTCTTACACGGCTTGGGCATGAGCCGACAACTATACATGGCAAACTCCATCCATGCAAGAAGAAGGTTCTCTTCTGCCTCTGACATATGTGGTCTAAGCAGATGTAGACTGAGTGCATCTTCTATATCCCAGCCTGGTGGAAGAAGTGGAATTGGTGGCTATAGCACCAGGAGTCTCTCAACCATAGGTGGAATCAGAAGAATTTCTTGCGTTGGAGGCTACCAGATTGGGGGCTATGGAGGTCTTGGTGTTGGACATCACATTACCTATGGTGGTCAGAGCTATTGTGGCATTCCAAGAAGCTACGTTGAGCTCAGAAATTATGCTGACAGTGGTCAAAATGACCATTTCCATGAAGTCAGCATCAACGAACGCCTTCTAAAACCACTCTGTATAGGAGTTGACCCTGAGATCCAGAAAATACGCACTAAAGAGAAGGAACAGATGAAATCTCTCAACAACCAGTTTGCTTGCTTCATTGATCAGGTCAGAGTATGAATGACTAGTCATTCATTCATTCATTCACTCATTCACTCATTCACTCATGAAGTAGGAAGTGGCAAATGAGGTTTCTTTCTATGGGGCAGTAGCGGGTAGATGACCCAATGCAAGATGTGGTGGGAGGATTCAGTCCAAGAGCAGGTGCTTGGTATGTGTTCAGATACCACAAAGTTTGCACATGAGAGAAATGCTTCAGAAATTTTGATCTGAAGCAATTTTATGCCAGAGCTCTTTGAGGTATGGTGTGTGTATATGGGGAAGGGGACAGGGGTCTGCTATTTTTGCTTACTTCAGTATTTATTCATTTTGATACAAAATGACTGCAAGATTCAGCTATGAATAGTGTAGTTGCATATTACCGTAGTTGTCAACTTTTATCATGTCAAATGTTGAATAAATGCCAAATATCCTGAATGCTAATGTACCATGTGCACCAAAGTGAACAAAGTCTAAAATAAAACTGACCATACTGCATTGTAAAAAGTAAATTGTGTTCATACTTTTTTTAAAAAAAAAAATCTAAGTGTGGCAATTGATCCATTTTAGAAAATCCTGAAGCAGAATTCTTGCAGTATTTTGCTGATATTGGGTTGGTGCTATTGTTACAGCAGACTCTACCATTGTCAAATGTAATGAACCCCTGAGTAATTTTGCTAATCGTGGAAAAGCTCTTTTCTTTTACCTCCAATTCCTCCAGATTGATTCCTTGAAATGGTCAGGACTGTCCCAGTTCACCATAATATGTAATCTGGTGGACACTTCAGGTGTAGAAGTCAAAAGAAAATGTCCTGTGTGAATTATTTAGACAGTTGATGGAATTCCACACAATGATGGGCAGATCAAAAGTGCAAGCATTAGATGATTGATAGATAGATGATAGATAGATAGATATAGATAGAATAATAAAGTGGCTACTATGTTAAGGCATAATATGGGGAGTGAGTAGGGATGGAGGTAAAATTCAGTTCAGTTCACCCATGAAAAGTGAGTCTGACTAATTTGCACTTTCCAAAATAAAAAGCGAACCAAAACACAGCCACCCTTTGAAAGTTGTATTCTTTCAAATTTTGCAGTGCCGTTCTCCAGCCATGTGTACAAAAATGCACATTCTGGGTTAAGTATTGCATGTATTAGTGAAAATAGCATACAAAATGCATTGCATTAGGGAAAACCACTGCTGAAATGTGTAGCTTAGGCAAAATTGCATGGAAAAATGTGCATATTAGGATACCTTTACACTAACATGCAGGCAGATTTTCTTGAGGACTCCCCTCCAATGCAAACTGATTGCAGATATGGAGAATTGACTTAACATTGGAAAAAGGAGAAACAGAGAAGTTGAAATTGTCAGATTCACCCATCCTTTGGGCTGACAAAGCTGGACAGCTGAATATAATCTCCACACTGTTCTTATAGATTTTCAGCTGTAAGCCTTTGTACAACGTCACAACATGCCTTATTGTAAGCAGCTATGCCACTGCAATTAATTTTCAAAGTACACATGCTGTGCACATCTATAAGAGCAATGTGGCAACTAATATGTGGGAGAGAGAGAGAAAAGGTAAAAAGAAAAGAGCTGTGTATAGGGGTAAATAGATGGGTGTCTATATTTAAAGACAGGCGCAACACACTATTCTGACAATATTAAAGAAGGAGTGTCATCCTTTGACCCACAAGTCTTTCTGAGACTGTTGCACTAACTGTAGCAATAATCATAAAACTGTAGATTTCGAAGAGACCACAAGGGTCGTCTGGTTCAACCTCAACTTGCAATGTAGGAAATAAAGCTAAAGAATCCCAACCTCTGTTGAAAAGCCTTCAGTGGAGGAGAGTCCACCATAAATAAATCTATTCATTTTCTGAGAAAACTGCATAACTGGTGTGGGTGGGTGTATTGATAGACAGATGGTGGGAGGATGGATGATAGATAGACAGATAGATCAGGCATAGGCAAACTCAGCCCTCCAGATGTTTTGGGACTACAACTCCCACCATTAGCTAACAGGACCAGTGGTCAGGGATGATGGGAGTTGTAGTCCCAAAACATCTGGAGGGCCGAGTTTGCCTATGCCTGAGATAGATACAGCTTTTCTTAAGCGCTGCAGCTGAGGCTGAAATAGAATGACTTGCCAAAGGCAACCCATTCATAATCCATGACAATATAGGAACTGGAGTATTTTACCTCAACATGCTCTTGACAACACAACTATGCCACTTGAATTTAGTGTCTTTCTTGTCTTTAATTAACACTTATAAAGTTATTCTTCTAAAGGTTCCTCTATTTCATGCTTTTACATTTGATTTTATGTTGCTTTTAGGTTCTATGGGCACACATTTTTTCAGTGGTGACCTTGCTGTGGAAGGGCGACCGCTGCATTTTGTCATGTACACCATTTTTATTTAGTATGCTTGCTGAAACAAAACAATGTCTTTAGCAGGTGCCGAAATGGCAACAGTCGAGACACCTGCCTGCCGTTCAACAGAGGGAGTTCCAAAAGTAAGGTGTCACCACAGTTCTGACACCATGCAGAAGGGATCTCCTGACAGATGCCCTCTTCTGAAAGATGTCCTGCAAGCATACATTGATGTGCGATTAACTGTTACCCACAGTGCAATTTGGAAGACTAACGCAAAATAACTGTGTGTGGCTTATCCCTGTCCCCTACAATCCCTACTTCCATCCCCTTCCATTTTGGATTTTCCTTTCTTTGATTTCAGGTCCGATGTCTAGAGCAGAAGAACAAGGTGTTGGTAACCAAATGGAACGTCCTGCAAGAGCAGATGCCACCTGCCAGGACAGATCTCAATTCCCTCTTTGCAAGATGCATCTGCGGCCTTCGCAAGCAGCTGCACTTTTTGCAGAATGAAAAGGAGCAAATGGAACCGCAGCTGCAGAACATACAGCAGATCGTAGAGGAGCTTAAATGCAGGTAGACATTGCCAATGCCCAGTCATATAATAATAATAATAATAATAATAATAATAATAATAATACCTTTATTGTCATCGTATGACCTGTGTACAATGAAATTAAATGAGCCTCCCCCCCCACGCAAACACTCAATCTCTTATCGAACAACACACCACCTCGCAAGTCAATTTCGCTATGTTATTTTTCGTTCAACAGCCTAACAGGCCATGGATAGAAGCTATTTTTTAGCCTGTTGGTATGACTGATTATACTTCTATATCTCCTGCCTGAGGGTAGAAGATTAAAGAGGTGATGGCCGGGGTGTGAGCCATCCCTGAGAATTTTTCTCGCTCTCCTAAGGCAACGATCCCTTGCAATGTCATCTAGTGGACTCAAGGGAAAGCCCATGGTATCATGTGCTGTGTTCACCACCCTCTGTAGAGACCTTCTGTCCGTGGCAGTCCGGCCAGCATACCACACTGTGATACAATATGAAAGGACACTTTCTATTGTGGACCGGTAAAAGGAGTTTATCAGTTGTTCTTTAACATTATTCTTTTGCAAGACCCTGAGGAAATGGAGTCTCTGTTGGGCCTTTCTGACCACCTGAGTTATGTTGATTTTCCAAGTGAGGTCCTCACTAAGGTAAACTCCCAGGAATTTAAAGGAGGAGACACTCTCCACACAGCCCCCCCCCCCAAATATACAATGGGGCGGGTTCCCCTCTCTTCCTCCGGAAGTCCAACACCATCTCCTTTGTCTTACTAATATTTAGGTGCAAGTTATTCTCTAAGCACCATGTAGATACTTTTTGAACTTCCCTCCTGTACACTGTTTCATCTCCGCCTGAAATTAGGCCCATTATGGTAGTATCATCTGCAGACTTAATAATTACTGTGGATGGATCAGATAATATGCAGTCATATGTGTACAATGAGTACAGGTAGGGACTTAGCACACATCCCTGTGGGGTGCCAGTGCTAAGCTTCAGGGAGGTAGATGTAACAGACCCAATCTTCATTGTTTGTGTACGATCCCTCAAAAAGTCTTTAATCCAGTCACAGATGGTAGAAGAAAGGTCAAGATCCGCCAGCTTTTTAATAAGAATGTCTGGGAGGATGGTATTAAAAGCCGAGCTATAATCAATAAATAATATTATGACATAATTCCCCGGTCTCTCCAGATTACTCACTGCCAGGTGAAAGGCTGTAGCTATGGCATCATCTGTGGACCTGTTTCTCCTATGTGCTGATGACGTTCCATTGTGCCAAAGGAGCCACTTTAGTTTATGTGTACTTAAGCTTACTTGCAGAAGAGAAAGAACAATCTATTTGTCTTTTATATTTTTTCTTGCATTGGATCAGCATAGATGCAGAAATAGGGGTGCTGCGTAAATTTGATCCTTGTGAACTCTGCGCTGAAATGTTTTCTCTAAATCCGTGTGATTTAAAATTGTTGTAAGTTGTTAACAAGTCCATTGTTAACAAGTACGATGGAAAAGTCCCATAGCAGTGACTGGGATAATAAGAAGGGGTTAAGATCAGAACTATGATATTGGGAATAAACAACAGAGAAAACACAGGAACAAAAACAAAAGATCGGCCACGACTGGACCAAATGATCAGGGGTCCCTTTACCTTTACCTTAAAGCATGAAGGAGGCTCCACGAGGACAGGAGCTTTCCCCACTGCACACACAAAGAACTTGGGACATGTGAGGTGGTGGAGTTAGCACACTCACACATACTTTCCCCTTTCCCCATGGCTATCCATGAGAGCCAGTGTGGTGTAGTGGTTAAGAGCGGTAGTCTCTTAATCTGGGGAACCGGGTTCGTGTCTCCGCTCCTCCACATGCAGCTGCTGGGTGACCTTGGGCCAGTCACACTTCTTTGAAGTCTCTCAGCCCCACTCACCTCACAGAGTGTTTGTTGTGGGGGAGGAAGGGAAAGGAGAATGTTAGCCGCTTTGAGACTCCTTAAAAGGGAGTGAAAGGCGGGATATCAAATCCAAACTCTTCTTCTCTTCTTCTTATCCTTTCGCTTGCTCCCTCCCCATCTATTGCAGTGAGCAAGATCCCAGACGTGTCATGCACATAGGATGCAGCTGTCTGCCCCTGTTGTTGTTTAGTCATTTAGTCATGTCCGACTCTTCATGATCCCATGGACCAGAGCACGCCAGGCACTCCTGTCTTCCACTGCCTCCCGCAGTTTGGTCAAACTCATGCTGGTAGCTTCGAGAACACTGTCCAACCATCTCGTCCTCTGTCGTCTCCTTCTCCTTGTGCCCTCAATCTTTCCCAACATCAGGGTCTTTTCCAGGGAATCTTCTCTTCTCATGAGGTGGCCAAAGTACTGGAGCCTCAACTTCAGGATCTGTCCTTCCAGTTAGCACTCAGAGCTGATTTCCTTCAGAATGGATAGGTTTGATCTTCTTACTTCCATGTAATTCAGTCTGTGCACATCAGAAGATTTGCAGGTCTTTGGGGGTTCCGCTGTTGAACACCCAAGTCATGGCATGTCCTCTTTCTCTGCTGTCTCCAAACAGGTACGAGGAGGAAATCAACCGGCGCACAGCTGTAGAGAATGATTTTGTTCTGCTTAAGAAGGTCAGAAATTCAGGTTGCTGTAGGGCGATTTGTGCTGGCATTTCATAAAAGAGAGTCTGTGCATACTTTTAACCTCAGTTAATGCTCAAAGACGGTGCAGTCAGAGGTACATCAAAATCTGTATTTGCATTCATCTGTGCTCATGCAGCATGCAAATTCTCTTTTCTTTTCATAGGAGAAAAACACATCCTTTCCCTCTGCCTGCCTTAGAGGAATGATCAAAATCATAAATGGGTTAAAACCTCCACTTCATCCATAAGCCTGCACTGATTTATTTTTTAAAAAATCTCCCTTGGCTGGGGGTACCACGGTGTGATTCAATTAGTCTGTGGGTGCTTTCAGAGTGACTCACTATTTTCAGGTGGGATTCAGCCACACATTGGCGAATTCTGGTTGCACAGTTAAACAGTCAACATTGTCTAATCTCCCGGAAAACGTATCAGGATAAATGCTTAATAAACAGGTTGTCTGGAAGCACTGTATGTTAAGCAGTTTTTTAAAAATGTATTTTTATTTTTTTAAAAAAATCTTGGTTTACAAAAGTATGAGCAGTGTCTCTCTTTTTTCCCCCTTTTCCAAGTAACATTTTTACAGATCAGTTTCATTTGTTGAGACATTAGTGTTACATTAGGAAGAAAAGGGGGGAAGAGGTGGAGGGGGGAGAGGCAAGTGGGGTTGGGATTGGGTGGCGATGTTTCTATTTTACTTAATATAAGTATGGGGTTTTGTGCCAGTGTCGCTTGTGCAGGTTCTCTGCTATTCGCTTGTGTTCCTTTGGTGGTGTGAGAGGTTGCGGAAGGCCTAGGGTGTGGTTTTTCATTTGTGATTGGCTGTGGTGAGCTTTGTTTTCATGTGTGAGTGGGGTAGGTGGGTGTTTTGGATCACGTTAGCCATATTGATTTGTGTGCTGTTGGTGGATTCTTGTCTTTGTCTTGTTGAGCTGTGTATGTGATAAAGGGGAGCCATACTGGGGTGAAGGAGTCTTCTTCTATTTGTCCCTGTGTCAGTTTCAGTTTATTTTGCATGCATCACATTCTTTCTTTCTTTCTTTCTTTCTTTCTTTCTTTCTTTCTTTCTTTCTTTCTTTCTCTCTCTCTCTCTCTCTCTCTCTCTCTCTCTCTCTCTCTCTCTTTTTCTCTTTGATGTAGCCAAAGCTCATAAGGTGTGTGTTGGGAGTGGGGATAGTTTTGATGTACAAACTTCCCCACTTATTTCCATTATAATTTTGAACTGAACTCAGAACTGTATGAAGTTCAAACATTACCTCATAATTGACCCAACCCCAACCCCAGTCTTCCTCTTTACTGCAGATACCGTCTGATCTTTTCTGCTGACATTGTCTCAGTGGTGGCAGGGGCAATAATGACTGCTGCTGGTGCCTTCAGGGGGCAGTAACAGCATCCCTGGATATGAAAACCTCTGGGACTCATCATTTAACCATTACAGTTCTCAGGAGTCATGTGATCTTGGGGCAAATCTCCAGCATATATTACTTCCCCCAAATAATATTGTGGGCAGTAGATGCCTCTGCACAGCACCCTTAACAGGAGCTCCTGAGCATTAAATGTGTGCATTGGCTGTGTAGTTTAAGTACATGGCATGGATCTGCTGGTGTTTCATTTCTCAGTAAATGAATCAACTGCTCTGCATTTTGTTTAGACAGCTGAGGTCACAGAGCCGCTGGGAAGCTTAGGGCATCTCTGAACCTTGTTAAAAGCACAGTCCAACTCAGAAATGAGAGAACCTTTCCCGAATCACCCCAATTCACCTTGGAAATCAGGGTAGATATACAGCCCATGCACACCCCAAGAGATACAAATGAATATCAATAACTTCTTTGACTGTGTTTGAGCCAAAAGCATCTGAAGGTTTCCTTTCTCCACTTTGCAGGATGTAGATTGTGCTTTCTTGAACAAGGTGGAGCTGGAAGCCAAGGTGGACACAATGAAGAGGGAGGCTGAATTCCTGAGGTGTGTACATAAGGAGGTAAGAAATCCTAAATGAGTTTTGATGGGTGCAATAATGGAATACTGATTGGTATAGTTTTTGGAAAATATGCAGGGATTTATGATATGTAAAATGATCCATGGAAAGAGAAGAAGGGAAGTCATTGATATCTTAAGGATGTAAAATGAGTATTTTAAATTGTAAAACAGACATTTTTTTAATTCATTCAGACATTCTAATTGTGTGTCGTTATCCCCTGTGTTTGATTTTATGTTGCTCTCTCCAATATGCTATTGATTTTATTGGGTTTTGGTTATAATAGTTTTGCTATTGTGTTTTGTATTTTGTATTTTTGAAAGGTGGGGTTAATAAATGCTCAAAATAAACAAATAAATCTCCAAACCAAGCTTAAGCATGTATAACACAGACATCAGTAAATTATTTTCTTAACTGTTCGGGAATGTGAAGAACGGAGAACACTTACTGGATATTCAAACTTTAGGAGGTTGCACTGCTGGAAAATCAGATTCAGTGTCAGGCTTCAGTCATGGTGCAGATGGATAACAATCGAGATCTGGACATGAACGCCATCCTCCAGAATGTCGAATCCTGGTATCAGAGCATTGCACGAAGGAGCAAAGAAGAAGTGAATACTTTGTACCGAAGCAGAGTGAGTAATCATACTGACGTCTTGTACGGAAGCCCATAGAGCTCATAATATTGTTACAAAATGCAAAATGTACTTGTGACTGCAAAGGTTATTACAGGGGTCAGCAAACTTTTTCAGCAGGGGTCCACTGTCCCTCAGACCTTGTGGGGGCTGGACTATATATATTTTTTTGGGGGGGGGAATGAACAAATTCCTATGCCCCACAAATAACCCAGAGATGCATTTTAAATAAAAGGACACGTTCTACTCACGTAAAAACACGCTGATTCCTGGACCGTCTGCGGGCCGGATTTAGAAGGTGATTGGGCCAGATCCAGCCCCCGGGCCTTAGTTTATCTACCCATGGGTTATAACAACCATGCAAGACTAGAATGTGTGACAACAAGGAACTTTACTGGAATTGTTCAACTCTTACAAGCACTTCTGTTAAGGTCAGCCAGAAGCGAGGATCCTGGTAGCTTCACTGCTCTCAGAAGTTTGGTGATGGTGGAGGCACGCTGGGAGAGGACATGCTCTGTGGCAGCCCCTAAGTTGTGGAATTGCCACCCCAAAGAGGTGTAATTAGCACCTTCAGTTTGTAGCTTCTTCTTTACCTTGGCCTTTGACAGCTAACATATATGTTGATGGCTGGAGTCCCAACAACAGGGAGAGGACACCAAGTTTATAATACATGGTTTAGTGAATGGAACTGCTCAGAAATGGAAACACTCTTCCTGACAGTTCCTGAGGTCCACAATGCACACCAGTGGAATCGGCGATGGCACTGTTTCCTGGAAAACAGCATTACTGTGCTGTGTGTGTGAAATGGATCTTTAGGTATTAGATGTGAAGTGTCTGTGGAAAGCAATTTAATGGCACAATGTTTGTACATCATAGTTACTTATTTTATGAGCATTTAGTACCAGGAACTCCAGGACCAAAGATGCCAAATTAGCAATGATCTGAAGATCAACAAGCGAGAGATTTCAGAGCTCAACCGGATGGTACAGAGACTGCAGTGTGAACTGGAAAAAACCAAGAAGCAGGTAAACATGGGAAAACATCTGCTGCTGGGGTGGGGGGTGGGGGGATTTGGCACAGCAACCTCTTGTTGTGGTTCGAGGACCCGACCCCCGCAATGTGGAATGAATATGCAAGGACACGTGATATAAGGTTAATGGGCAAGAAAAGGCCACAACTTTATTGATTACAGCAGTGAAAAGGTATTGGCTTAGGCATTGGATGTCTAAAACAAGGGGGGGGTTATTCACCAGTAGGTGGAGCCTGTTGATGCTAATCCAACTATAGGCTCTCACCTGATGTCACCGAGGGTCGTGCCATGGCCTCCCGCCAAGCAGGCATCAGACAGAGTACATGACCGCCAGATTCCTTTAACGGAATACCCAAAAATTGAAGGCATAGGCGATGGCCACACCTAGCCCTTCGACACACCACAACACATTATTCCAATGCCTAACCTACCCACCAATACCACAAAAGTTGTGACGATTGCTACGAGGTAGGCGAAAAAACCAAAAGCCTAATGCCAAATGGAAAAATTCCTACCAGGCCCCCTGGACAACCAGGGCGACCAACCTAAGGTCCATAGCAAAGCCAATGAACTAAGACCCTGAGCTCAAAGGGAGTGGAGGGTGGGTGACTCGCAACGAGACGAAGGAGAGAAGAATGAGGCCGAGGAGGAGCTGGCGCCGCAGCAAAAGGCTGCTGTAAATGCCCCCTCGGAGGCACCTGGTTGGGTGCCTGCCGAGGGGCATGGGCGCCAGCCAGGTGAGAGAAGGAGGCAGGGGGCTAACACCCCCTGCTAGGGGCAGAGCTCGGGCTCCTGCCCACAACCACTCCCCTCTCTTCCAGGGAGGAGAGTCTTTACCAGCAGGAAGCTATCTCAGCTGTCCTATACATACATTTCCTTTTGTACAAAAATGTTTCAATGGAGTAAAAACAGGACAAATGAAGATTTTTGTTTTTTAAGAATTATCATCATCATCAATCTTTATTACGGTCCAGAGACCCAACAAATCATTACAAAACAAGAATAATGACAAAACAAGAATCATATCTGAATAATTGGGCATGGTTTAAAGCCAGCTGTTTGCCCCTAATTCAGAGGATGTAATACATGGATGTGTGTGGTATCGGCTCTATCTCGGTTTGCTACTGATGTCCAGCAACCCAGTAATATATGCAAAACTCATTGCATTGCTTTATAACCGCAGATGCAGCCCTATAGGCCTCTATATCTGACACTTGGGACTCTGCCCAGGCCACACCCCACACCAGCCTTACTTTGCACTCTCCTGGAGTGTTTTTGCCTAGCCGGATTCGGTGTCGCCTGGGGTCAGGGGGTCTTCATCTGGGCACACAAAGAATGCAAGACAGTATTAACCTAATTCCCACTACTGTTGAGTAAACATGGCATGCTGGCTTCCATGGTTCATTCAAATTTAGACGGTATGTGGAACTCGAGGCAGCCCAGATGTCATTGAACTCCAACTCCCACTATCTCTAGCCAACATGGCAATTGTCAGGGTTGATGGAAGTTGTAGACCAGCAAGATCCAAAGGTCCACAGCTTCTTCCTTCCTTCACTAGAGATACACTGATTTTTCAGCAGCATGCTGGAATTTCGAATGTGCATCCTGATATCTTGAAAATTCAAAGTTCTCAGATGACTCTGATGACGACGAGTGGAAATTTGATTTTGAAGGGTGAATGTCAGTTTTCAATGAGCCAGTGCCTGAGGGCAAGTAGAATCTCTTGCTTTACCAATTGGCAGGTTGCATGTCTACAGTTGGCCATTTGTGACTCTGAGCAGCGTGGTGACTGCAGCCTTAAAGATGCACAAGAGAAATACGACGATCTATACAGTTCCTTGCACCGATCTAAAGATGAGTTGGTATGCATGGTACGCAACTATCAGGAGCTTCTGAATGACAAACTGGCACTGGATATTGAAATAGCTACATACAAGTCACTGCTGGAGGGAGAAGAAAACAGGTATTCCTTGACTATTTTCCTACAGGATATAGAAAAGTTACTGTCACTGTCTAAGCTGTCTAGTTCAATTGTATCCAGGACCGGTTAAAACATGCATAACTGGAACTGCACCACTAATGATGGTGGGCAGGGTAATTACAATATATACCTATATACCTGCATAAGAAAGCAAGCACATTAGGGAGAAGGCTAGCCTAAAACCTTTATCTCAGACATGCTAGTTTCCTGTGCGCAGGATTTTTTACAAGCCATTCCACCCCATCCTGGAATCAACCTCTACTGGTAGAATCTGCACATGGTTTCACTATGCCTTTCTTTGCTATTGCAATTGCATATCCTTTATTTGGCTAAAATCCTAGATGCAGGGAATATCCACAGAACCACACATATTTGGCCATATCCCTCAATAATAATCTTCTCTGAGGGAAACCCACCACCAGGCAGTGTCCCCTGTATAAACTTTGGCACATTTTTAGGTGCACATGTCAGATTTATCAAGCATAGATCTTGAATGCAGAACCAGCCCAAGACATGTTGCTACCTGAGGCAAGGAGAAGAAGAAGTTTCCCCTTCCAGTTTCATGTACCAAAACCAACTGGACTGGCAACTGAATCTCACTTCAACACGGGTAATGCAATAGCATCCTCCAACACAGGGAGCAGGCTAGGGGATCAGGAGAGTTGATGGAGCAACAGAAGGGAATGGCTGGGTGCTCAAGAAGAATAGCCATGGACTGCTACTACTACTTTGCTACTTTGAGTGTAAAATATAAATGAAAATGAAACAAACAGGAGATAGAAAGCCTGTATCATATACAGGTACACTCTAAAGATGGCTTGCAGCTCCCTGTTCAGCGTATGTTGGGTGGTTTCTTCAAGTATACCATGGCAGTGGCCCACACAGAGCTTTAAAAAAACAATCGTTATTATTTTGATGAAGTAATACTAATAAATAAATAAGAATCCAATGTGCACCCCACCCATGAGACCATTCCATTGTAACTATCCAACCTCCCAAAATTTCAACACCTCTTGCGATGGTTTGACCCCTTTGACAGTACAAGATCTACAAACACCTTCCATATCTCCTCAAAATCATTTCCCCATCTTACCTTAATAGCATGTGTCAATTTATCATTAATAGTTATATCCCACACCTCTTTATACCATTCTTCCATTTTATATTCACCTTGCCCCTTCCACTTCCTAGCAGTAATAACTTGTGCAACGGTCAATACATTTGTGAGCAAGTCCTTCACAGACTGCAAACCTTCCACCCCACTGTAAATTGATAATAATGCTGCTTCTGGACTTTTGGTCAGCTTTAACCCAGGGATTTCTGTTATCTCCTTAAACACCCTTTGCCCAAAAAAATGTGCATATTTACACCCCCACCACATGTGAACCTAATACTGAACCTAATACTGAATATTCCTTGTTTATTTGATTTTATCAGACTGGTGGTAAATACCATCTCCACATCTCCAAACTAACTTATAATAATTTTCTTCTAACCTTATAGACAACATTTTCAAAGTGTGTTTTTCCCATATTTTCCCAGCTTTGACTATTTTTCTTTTTTAAAATAAATAAATATATTTTTTATTAAAATTCCATTTATCAAACCAATCATATCCAATCATATTCCAAATTATATCAATTCAAATCACAAAGTCCAAATGTTAAGCCGAATTTTAAATTTTTTGTGGGGGGTACCCATGCTTCGAGTTTGGCAGGAGTCCAATCTTCTTGTATTTCTGCTGCTTTGATGTTCACAGTCCCATCTTCTCATCTCCTTGTCATTATCCTTTTTCTTCTTAATAACCTCCGAGTTTTCTCCACAAGCGAGATAAAAGAAACAGCCTTGTTTATATTTCTGTGTGAACTTTGAAAATGCTTTCCCGTAATTCATCTCACATAAATCCAAAGGTCCAAGAGTCTGTTCAAGCGGCAGTCGCCATTTTAGTCAATTCTGATGAAATACAGTCTTGGTGTCCGCTCCTTAATTTTTGCAGACCTTATGCACTATAAATCAGCCTTTCCGGGAGGTTTGTTGCCCTTTCAAATTTACGATCCAACCTGATAACAAAGCAGTGGCTCATCCTCCCTATGACTGGAAATCTTGTAACAAGGTCTGCCCCTTAATGGCGGATCGCTTTTGTAACTATGCACAAGAAAGCCTCCATTCTTTCCAGATCTCCCACAGAGTAAAACCTTTTATTAGCATTTTTTTGTTTCTACACAGTTTATTTTTCCATCTCATTTTCTGGCTTTGACTATTTTTCTGCCCACACAGGGCTCTTAAATGTGGCAAACCCGACTGCGTTGTGTTATTGTTCCTTGTTTCTCTTTGTTTACTGTTTCATGCATCCTGTTCTATTTGCTGTTGCATTTTTGTTTACCGCTTTGATCATTTTCTACAGGGAAAAGCAGTTTATACATTTTGTAAGTGGAGAGGATGATGGATAAATGGGAAAGATAAATAGTTATCAGAATATAACCCCTACCTCTATTAGAAAATGCAGTTTCTCACATGATCTATTTTACATCTCTTTCCCAAACAGGATATTTTCGGGGAACCTTGCAAGTGTAGGTAAGTAATGGCAAAGTTTACCTGTTGGAATTCCAAAGATTGCTCTCTAGATGGGAATATAAGAAGTGGCTTTGCTATGTGCAACAGCATGAGGTGGAAATAAGGTGTTAGGTGTCCTAAAGTGGTAGAAGGCTGAACCACTTTAGACTGCCAAGGGGGAAATTGTCCCTCCAAAACAAACACCAACATTATTTGCAAGTAGAAAGCTAGTACAGCAGGAAGGATACAGGTATTTGATTTTTAATTCAAAACTTAACTGTCAGGGGTCTTTTACTTTACCTTTTTATTCCATCACCACGTTCTGCTGCATGTACATAGGTTGCCATATGTCCTTTTTTTCCGGGACGTGTCCTGTTTTTCCAGGGTAGAGTAATCATAGTGATCCATAGTTAAAAGTAAAAGGTAAAGGTAAAGGGACCCTAGACCATTAGGTCCAGTCGCGGACAACTCTGAATTGTGGCACTCATCTTGCTTTATTGGCTGAGGGAGCCGGCGTACAGCTTCCGGGTCATGTGGCCAGCATGACTAAGCCGCTTCTGGCGAACCTAGAGCAGCGCACGGAAACGCCGTTTACCTTCCCGCCGGAGCGGTACCTATTTATCTACTTGTACTTCGTGCTTTCAAACTGCTAGGTTGGCAGGAGCTGGGACCGAGCAACGGGAGCTCACTCTGTCGCAGGGATTTGAACCACCAACCTTCTGATCAGCAGGCCCAAGGCTCTGTGGTTTAACCCACAGCGCCACCCGTGTCCTATAGTTAAAAGTAGAAGTCAGCAAATGTGTCCTCTTTTTTCCTCTTCAAAATATGGCAACCTTATCTTTGCCACAGTACCATTCTCAACTTCAAACTGACAGCATCTCTTTAAGATTAAGGTAAAGCCCTTCTTAGCCCTTGAGATGCCAGAATTTGCACCGGTGGGACGTAATGCATGCAAAACTCAACTGCAAAGAGGTGTGAGGCCTCCCCAAATATATATTAGATCTCTTGGGAAGTTCCAGTATTGCTGTACCCAGCTAACCAAGAATGCTGTTGTCATGCTATTGTAACCATGACTGTGATTACTATTGCAGCAGTGCTTCCTAACCCAGGCAAAGTAGCTGATGACTGTGGCCATGAACCTGCATATGCCTCTCTAAGCAGAGAGATCAGATGCAGAAGTGGGAAATATAGTCCTGGTGGCCCAGGGAAGAGACAGAAGTCGAACCTTGGAGATGCGGAGTGCCATGTGGCCGGATACACATCGAGAAATGTACCTAACTCTGTGGGTAGGCTGTGCAACCCTGGAGGTGAAGATTTCAGCCCAGACGGTGGGTACCACATCACCAGTGGTGGTGGCAACAACCATGCCTCCAGAGCAGCTCAGAGACCCAGAGGTGCAACTGGTGGCTGTACCACTGCCATTGTGGCAGGTAGATGTGTCGGTGGCTACTCCAGTGTTGGTAACTCAGCTGGTGCATGCTGTCACGCACATTCATGCAACCATGGTACGAAAATATCATCACGCTTCAGCAAAAGCAGCAGGATGTGAACACTCAGTTCCCGAGGCTAGGACCAAATTACGTAAGAAGAAGAAAAGAAAGAGGCTTCCAATAAGAAATGCATCTTATAAACCACGACACAAGAAATATTATTGTTGTTGTTGTTGTTTTTAACTTCCATAGAAATTTCCATGTGCACAGTGGCTCCTTCCTCCTGCAGTAACTCCTGTAATGGAGCCTATGTTGGTCCCATTTCACAGATGAGGAGCTGAGGCTGAGAGATAGTCCAAGAGGTAGTCCAGAACAAATTAAGATGTTTGGATTGTGGGTTTAAAATAATTGCTTGACCTTGATTAGAAGTTCTATGATGTTGCAGAAAGGCTGAGTTCCTGAGTTCAACAGGAACAAAAAATGCTTCACAGGGAATCACATCAATAACCCACCTAGCCCAGGGCTGGCAGCAGTGCTCCAAGGCCACCTTTCCTGGCCTTGTTATTCAAAGTCCCCAAGCTCCATTAGGAATTCCCATGCGTGTGTGGAAATCTCTGCAGTGAATGGCAACATCTTATTAGCCCAGGATGGCCAGATGTTACTCTTCTGGCCTTGAAAACCCCTTAAGGTTTTGCAGACATTCTGTGTTTTGAAGAGTCATGTGAGTATCCACAATGAATGCTTGCAAAGTCCTGGCTTATGCGCTTCCTCGTCCCTCCCTTGCTGGCCCTTCAACCTTTTGCAACCAAAGTGGGAGCAAAACACTGTTAAACAGTTGCAAAAAGGGACTCAGCTTACCTGTTGACTTCTCAGCCAGTAGAAATTGAACCGATGCCTCAGGGCATGCTCAAAAGCATGGGACAGAGGTACCAACTTGAATAGAATATGGGAGGGGGCAGGTAAGTCCCACCGTGCATAATCAACCACAAGACATAGTGGACACACGCCATTTGAATGACAATGCCCATCAACTTTGTGGGGACTGAAGGAACCTCGGTCTCTAGCAGCTGGGATCAGTGGGTTGGTAGTTTTCTAAAATGTGTGACTCCTCCCCCCTGCAGGATTGATCCAGACCCTCTGGATTTGCAGCTACACAAAATGAGCAAAGTCAGTTTTCAGGAAAAGAGAGAAGTTTAAATTAGTTGTGGTCCTTCTCTAAGAGTCTATCCACCGACTTTTAACACATGCCTGCAACGCAGTGGCGTAGCGTGGGGGGTGCAGGGGGGGCCAGCCGCACCGGGCGCAACATCTGGAGGGCGTGCGCTTGCACTCGCAGTTCTCTGCCCCCTGCTAAAATCCACGGGTTAGGGGGCGCAAATTACTTGCCTTGCCCCGGGTGCTGACAACCCACGCTACGCCACTGCTGCAACGGCATGGGAACTGTTTTGCTAGGCTTCCATTCCTCGCAGTTTGAGAGTTTGTGTAAAAATGGCAGGCATGTGAATGGGAGGGTGTGATGCCAATCACAAAGCAGAGAAGGAGCTAAACCAACCAAAGGAGCAAAGGCGGAAGGATTGCGTGTGGAGGGGCTGTGCCAACACAATAAGCACCTTCTTGCTGTTGTTTCATTGTTGCATTGCATTGTATTGTTAGGCTTTTGGTGTCTTTTCCAGTGTTGGCTTAAAAAGAATGTTTTCAGCCATCATATGTTGCCCTGCTAGGAGTGGAAATGTGGGAAGTGAATATACAATATTTATTTCACCTTTTATTTCACATCTGAATTTGTTTCTGTGCACAAAATGCATTCTGTCTTAAATCTCCAGTGTGTATATCAGGCCGAATTTTCCTTTGTGAGCATCTGTAATTTGCAAATGCAACCCTCCGCCATCAGCTGTTTTTGGTTACAAGAGCCAACTCTTTTCTGCTGTACCTACAATAAATTGTATGAAGAAATGATACTGCTTATGTGTGTGTGTGTTATTGTTTATCTCTGTTAAGGATGGGTAAATCTAGAGATGGGAGACAGATTTTCATCAACTCTATCTAAATTTCCAATCATCAAAGAGTAATGGGACAGTCATGTCCAGAGCAAAATGGTACAGAGGTCTCAAAATATTCCATGTTGTTCTCTGGCTAGCAGGGCCAGATCAATATATATTGGCACCAAGGTGAACCTCAAAATGGTGCCCCCTCTCCACTAGGTAAAGGGTAAGTGAAGATCTACATTGGAAACAAGGAGGTCATAAAGGTTTCCATTGCGATCTGCTGCCCCATGGAACCTGCTGCCGAAGGCAATTGCCTCACTTTGCCGCATGTGTGGGTCAGCTTTTCCTGCCAGACAAGATGACAACATGTTTCATATTATAACTCAGCAATGGAAGCAAAGTTTGTGCCTTTTCCTTTCCCATCTCTTGTCCTCAGTTTAATTCCAAGTCCACACCCAGTAGAGCAAGCTATTTTAACATCCCAGAGATAAAGCGGGGGGGGGGGGGTTTGCTTTATAATAATTTATGTGTCACTTTAGGACCTTAGGGTTTGTTGTGACTGCAGATACAGAGCCTCCCGCCCCCAGCAAATTTAATTAATCTCAAGTGAAAAGAGCTACAAGAAACAGAGGAATTGTCTTCATCTGTTCTGTGCAAAGGAAGAGAACACTTAGGAAGAGAAAACAATGGAAGAGAACTTAGGAAGAAGAGGATAATACCCTAATTTCAGTTCCTTTATTGCTTCTGGGATTCATTCTGCCCTGCATTCCATGCCTCGTGAATTGGTTTTTTTTATGCAGTTAATTTATATACCGCTGCATAGATCATATCAGAAATTTGGGAGCGGTTTACAAATCCCAATAAAAAGGAATCAACATAAACAATAAAATGCAAATTCCACATTCTTATGGTTTAACTATGATTTGCAAAATAAATTCCACATTTGGGACATGCATAGTTTGCCCTAGTCTTTTAGTTGTTACAGTTTCTTTGCTTTTGCCACCATTCCTAATGCACAGTAGCAAAGTAGTCTTGATCACATAGATATGATCACATCAGTATTTCTTGTTGTGCAGAATGCACTCTTGAATGTTGGTACCCCACCCCTCAAGTTGTATGTACAATTTATCAAGATTGTCATTTTACATTGTTTTATCAGTGCACACAGGTGTGTGTACTAGCAGTCCACTGAACCACATCCCATTTCTTTTGGCAACTACAGTATTTATTTAGCAAAAATTTATATCCCACCAGCATTGAGAAAGTCTGGGGAGACAGTGCCTCCTTACTCATGCTGCTCACCAACCCTGTCATCAGCTCAGCTCTGGCCTTACTCCTCTTAAAAAAACCCAAAAGCCCTCCACCTCCAGTCCCCAACTGAACATTTCACAGAAAGCCAAAGATGAACAGCTACTCTCACCACACCCACTCAACACAATCAGCTATGAGGAATGAGACCATGAGCTGCCTCCTGGCCCACGCATCTTGTTTCCATCTTACTTGCCCAGCCAACAACCGCCAGATCTTCTCATTCCCACCAACCCACCTCAAGCCTTATAGTGCTAGGCACAAATTCAACCATTCAGCCCCTTCCTTGGCCCTCCTGCTCCACATTACACAGTCCTCAGAAGCTGCCACTGATGCTACCCATAATGCCAGTGTAGGTCTAACCCAGTGTTTCCCAAACTTAGGTCTCCAGCTGTTTTTGGACTACAACTCCCATCATCCCTAGCTAGCAGGACCAGTGGTCAGGGATGATGGGATCGTTGTCCAAAAATAACTAGAGACCCAAGTTTGGGGGGAAACTGATCTAACCCCAGGCTCAGGCCCATTCTCAGGCTGCTGTCTTCTCATCAACCTCTACCCCACCCTCACCATTAACCTCTCTACTTTATTCAAATGGATTTGGCCTGATTCTGTACCTGGCACCTCAACCTCCCCCACTTTGTTAGAAGCCCCTGTGCCTGCTCCATAGCTGTCAACTTTTCCTTTTTTTTTAAAGGGAAATTCCCTTATTCCGAATAGGATTCCTTGCAAGAAAAGGGAAAAGTTGACAGCTATGGCCTGCTCATGCAAGCACCCTATGTCTTTCCTAACTAAGGTGCTAGGTCAGGGCTAAGTTAGAGCTTTGCACTCCCTTCTCTGCCTCCTCTCACTACAGCAGTGCCCACTGGGTGCAGACCTCTGTCTCAGCTTTGTACCTATTGTCTACTGCCTCTGTCAATCAAGTCTACCCAGTTCACAGTGTCCCATTGAGACACATATCCTATTGAGAGAAAATTATCATGGTGGTGAGCAGCATAAAAATCAGCCATAAAATTGCAACCATAAAACAAATAGAGAATACACCACAAATCAGTCATTCAGATTAATACATGAACACAACTGGATCACCCTCTGGGAAAGTCTGGGGGAACAAGTGAATTTGAAGCACCAACACTGTAGATGTCTGCCTTGCAGTAGTTTAACAATCAATCCTCTACCCAGGAAACTCTGGGAATTCCAGTTGCTATGGGGAGAATAGGCCACTCCTAACAACTCTCTGCACCCCTAACAAATTATAGTTCCCAGGATTCCTTGGAGAAAGCCATGGCTGCTTATATGGTATAACACTGCTTTAAATGTACAATGCAGATATGGCCTAAGTCAAAGAAAGAAAGCTGGTTATACCTGCGTTCCTTCTACTTAAATAAATTAGTGGCACAAAGCTGTGCATAATGGAACTTTCACAGAAGAACAGGTTGCTGCTTTAGTCACATTGTGACACTCATTTTTGTCCCACTGAAATCAATAGAGCTTAGTAAATAAAACTGGGCCATACGAATCCATCTTTTCCCTAGTCCACAATTCTATGTGCATTTCTATTGAGTACTTGACACATCTGTGCATTTATTAAGTCTCCATTTATTCAAATAGGAGTGGTAAATCACATTTGAATTTATCCTTTTATAAACAAAGTTTGAGGATAGCTATTTTTTGATGGATGGCAAAGAAGCAGCAAACATGAGTTCCATCTGTTGCTCAAAGAAAAAAGGGACAGTAACAAGAAAATTAAGATCCTAAAAGCACAGCCTTGACTTGCAACTCTGCAGAATGTTATCAGCTGTGGTCAACGAAAGAGGAAGACTCCCTTAAATAATTTTCGGTCTAAAGTGTAATTAATGCATTTGAGGGAAATGATTCTCAAATGTAATATCCTACAAGCCAAGCTTGCAAACAAAGCAATTCCTTTAAAAATTCTCATTATTTCTTAGGTTTGCATTCACTATTATATTCTGTACATCGAAGGGCATTCCTGGGCCTGAGGCAGGCCAAACCCATGCATGCTCCAAAATTAAAATGTTAGACCAATCAAGGCCAACTCCTCAGCTGTATATAAGAGTTGGCTTTGAGGTATTGTGCCAGAGGATTTCTCTCTCCACTTTGCTTCTGCTGCACCTGCTTTCTTGGAACTAGCCTATCCCAGCTTGTTGCAATGACTCATCACATGTCTGCTGCAAGGACCTTCATGGGAGGAAGGGGATTCAGTTCGGCGTCTGCTGTGTGTGGACTAGGCGGGCACAGGACATATGTCGCCTCTGTACGCCATCCAGTCAGAAATGGATATGGGGTCCGTGGCTTCAGCAGCCAAAGTCTTTCTAACCTGGGCGGAAGCAGAAGAATTTCTTATGGTGGCTATGGTGCTGGATGTTTTGGTGGCTATGGCGGCATGGGGTTTGGTGGCAGGGTGGGTCATTACGGCCCTAGAATTTATGACTCTGTTGGAAGTTGCGGGCCTTTCCCAGGATATTCTAACTTCAGGGGGGATGGCATCCATGGAGTCAGGATCAACGAGAAGCTCCTGAAGCCTTTACATCTGGGAGTTGATCCACAGGAACATGTCGTACGAAATCATGAGAGGGAAGAGATGAAGAACCTCAACAACCAGTTTGCTGGCTTCATTGATAAGGTGAGAAGGCAAATGTTTTTGACTTAACTCGAAATAAGAAGCCCAGTCAGGCCCACGACATGGGTGCTCTTAGTTTGGATCACTTTAAAAATGGCTCTGCATCATCATGCAAGCAACCAATGGGATCGAACTGTGTGCACATGGCTGCACATGGGATTATGGACATTTGTAGAGGCTGAAATGAATTATAAAAGAGAGTTATCTCAAGCGATTAGACAAATTCATGAAGGATAAAGTTTTCACTAGCAACTGACAGAGTCGCTATGTTATATATTCTGCCTCCAGAATCAAGAGGAAAAAACAATGGGGCAATGCTATAATGCTCATATTCTGCTTCTGTACTTCCCAGAGCTGGTCAAATAGCTCTTTGGACAAATCCAACAGGGTTCCTTTATTCTTTAAACGCAATACACACAAAAAGCAATTTAAATGCCTGTTCTGAAAGTAGGTTTTCTCTTTGGTTTGTTTTCTGATTGACTTAATTTTGGTATCATTTGGGTGTTTCTTTGTTTTGAAACAGGTACGAACCCTAGAGCAGCAGAACAAGGTTCTTGAAACAAAGTGGAACCTCCTGCAAGAGCATGTCACACCAGCAAAGAAAAACCTTGAACCGTTCTATGAAAGTTTCCTTTGCAACATGAAGAAGGAGCTAGACTGTTTACTGAATGAAAGGCAACATCTAGCAAGTGAAGAGGCTGCTATCCAACAACTGGTAGAAGAACTGAAGTGCAAGTAATTTGCATTTTAAGCATATATTATTATTATTATTATTATTATTATTATTATTTATTAACATCTGAACATCTGAACAGGGCTCTTGTGCACCTTACTATATGGGGTACAGAAAGGTGATTTTGAGTTGCACAGAGATCTCCCTTCATGTTTCAACAGATATGAAGAGGAATTCAAAAGGCGTACAACAGCAGAAAATGAATTTGTACTACTCAAGAAGGTAAGGTGTTCAGATTGGTGTTCAGATTCAGTGGTTTTCATATGGAGCATAAAGTCTCACTGCAAATTTATTTACATCAGTGTCCTGGGGGCAACACTGAGCCCCTGCCAGCAATTCAACCTTTGACTTGCACTTTGCCATTTCCCACGTGGCAGGTGTCCCTCTGAGCAGGAAATCTCTCACGTCATCCCAGGAGTGTCAGCTTGGTCCTGCAACTATGGATGACAAGGGCCGTGGGTGCCATGCAGCGCACATGACCCTGACACTGAAATTTGTGGGTGCCTGACCCCTTCATGGGGAATTTTGTGGGTGCTTGGGCACACAAAGCCCCAGGGAGTTGGCACCTATGTGTCACCCTCAGAATGCCATCTGTCAGATGAGTCTCAGCACCATGCAGATACCTTTTTGACCTGGCCAGAGTTATTCTCTGAGGAACTCAGAGCAAAAAGCCAGGAAATGGGAAATTGCTTCAGAGGCCTAAGCTGCCTCTCTGCACAAGTCTCTTTGGGTTGGATCCAGACAAGAGCAAACAGAACTCTTCATACAATAGTGCTTCTTACTTTTCTACCACCCCAACCTCCTGCACCCCCAGAAAAATCTGTTCCTAAGGGTTAGGACACCCTGCAAGGGATTGGGTATGGGTTAGGGGGTTGCAGCAGGATGAAAAAATCAGAGCAATTTGCAGGGAAAACCTTGCAAAAGCTTTTTTGCTCATGTAAGAACCTTTGGATCCAAGTCTTTGGTCAGATGGAGCCATCAGGCCTAGCCTCTCTATGTTGCTAAGCAATGGCCCCTGAGTCTAGATTAGGTTTCTCCAAGACTATATTTCTGCCAATTTTAAAAACTCTTTAAAATACTTTCTACCTGTCTGTTCAGATACTGACAAAGGCTCTGTTTGTCTGCCATGAAAGATGGTCAGATAATCAATGCTATGTGTCAGGTACTGTCAATTGCTTTTACTGTTAGTGCTTACCAGTTACAGGCAGTGACCATTTTATGTGCATCCGATTGACATGCAGCTGGGCACATGACCTGGAATTGGCCTGAAAAGCGGGCAGGGGTAGAATGGGGGGGGGGACAGGGCAAGCCTAAGTGTGCTTCACCGACACGTGTGGGGGTCAGGAATGGAACCCCCGTGCAAAATGGTCACCACCTGTACTGCATCTGTTTATTATGGATTGCCAAGCATCAAATACCTGTTGAATATTCATGAACCCTGAGAATATTCACCATGAACGAGGTGGGTGTGTATTTATTCCCACTCTAATTCTTGGGTCTGTCATTTCTTGAAGGCTTATGTGTATTTCAGTCATAAAAGAGAGCATCTTTGTTTATCTTCTTGCTTCATGGTCTTGTAGTTGGGCATAGGCAGTTGTCTGTTCTGAATATTTAGTTATTTGATCTGAACATTTCCAACCTGCAGCTGGCGTTGTCATTATTATCTCAGCAATTGTTCATGTTTAATTAGCAGTTCCATCTTCTTTAGGATGTAGACTCTCTCGCACTACGCAAGACAGAACTGGAGGGGAAAGTGGATTTGCTGAGACGGGAACTTGAATTCCGCAGATGTGTTTATTTGGAGGTAAGTATGACTCAGTCTTGGATAGAGAGACTCATGGACTGAATGTGTAAACATAATTTGTAGCCCTTTATGCCATGAAGACAGGCCTGAGGTTTGTTTGAAGTAAAGAATGAGAGTGCATTCTCCTCGGTGAATTACTACTCACAGTGGAAAGGTAGTGTCCCATGGAAATGGTGAATAGTTGTCTCAGAGGTGATTGATATGTGCAGACAAAATAGAAACTAAGTGAGTACCCTTTCGATCAGGGATGGGGAACCTGTGACCTCAGTTATCCACAAAGGAATATTTTTGAGATAAGGATAATTGTCCATAAATCAGTGGCAGGGAGGAAAGGAGTCTACCAGCTGCGGGAACAGAAGCTTTTGGATCAACTATTTGCAGTCTGAATTCAGACTTCTTCCTAGACTGGAAAAATGGCAAAGACGGTTTGTTTACTGGAAGCCAAATTACAGGATGAAGTGATGCAGTGACTTTTGGAAACTGTGAGATAACCACTTCTCCCAAGGCATGACAGGAATCACCAACAGTTATAAGAATGAAAGATATAACGCCATATATGGATGGGAAAACATCACACACAGGAAAGAATAAGGATTACAGTTAGAGTTCCTCACTTGAAATTTTATAAATTACCTAATGTACCAACACAAATGAAATGTAGCTGTTATATAAAGAATTATTAAGATTTTGGAATGCAGAAAAAATGTAGAAGAACGAAAGCATCAAATCTAGCACACAGTTTGATTAAATTGTATAATTTGACATTTGAATAATTATATTAATTGGATAAAATTGGTACAGTGGTACCTCTGGTTGCGAACAAGATCCGTTCACAACGTGAAAAGCCCGCAACCTGAAGCGACTTATCTGCGCAGGTGTGCTGTGCGATTTGGTGCTTGTGAGCATGTGCGAAGCGCAATTTAGCGCTACCGCTCATGCATGAGCGGCGAAACCTGGAAGTAACCCTTTCCGGTACTTCCAGGTCACTGCAGGATGCAACCTGAAAAAACGTAACATGAAGCAAACGTAACATGAGGTATGATTGTATTGTTATAATGAAGCTGCTATTGGAACGATATTAGAAAATCAATAAAAACACATTTTAAAAATAAAAAACCCAATACTACTACCACTACCTTTGAGTCCAATGCAGAGTGCTTTTACAATTCATATCTGTTGAGCCTATATTCATTAGGTCAGAGCTTCTAGAATAGTGGGTGCCATCTGCCAATTTACTTTAACCCTTTCACTTTTTAGAAACTAAACCAAGAGGTGTGAGATTCCTTAATTTCTCGTTCACATGCAGACTTTCTGTGAATTGCAGGAATTAGCACAATTGGATGGCCATGTCTGTGACACAAATATCCTCTTGCAAATGGACAACAATCGAGGCTTGGATGTTGACTGCATCATCAGAAATGTTGAGGCCTGGTATCAGAGCATTGCCCAGAGGAGCAAAGAAGAAGTCAATGCTTTGTATGAAAACAGGGTAAGCCAGGACAGAGGTGCATTGCACTGAACTGGGAGAGCAGGCAGCTTTTCAGACCACACATTTACTGTCATGATAAAGGGAAAACTGCTAGATGCAAGTCTAGGAATGTTTCCAAAATTTAGCTCATCTAAACTTATGATATTCCAAATTAGGTTGACCATGTTTCTGAAGTGGAACCAATGTATTACAGAAGTTCATTGTTCTAGCTTTTATTTCTGAAATCTGTACAGGGTCCTATATATGGCTGGGTCAAAGAACCTTTTTGCTTTTTGTCTTAACCAATGTGAAAGAGGGCATGTGCACATCAGCAAGACACTATACTCAGTGCTATTTTTCTAGAAAAGAGGTGTTAGAACTCACCATGAACATCTCCCTCGTCCTCTTTGAATGGGAATGGTGACCACCTGAGAGGTGATGGAACTGAGTTCTGGTGAGTTCCAACTGAAAGAAAGCCCTGACTATACTTAATATTTCATCAAGATTGCATTTTTTTGTCACAAGTTTTCAGTGTGCATATATTGATAATGTAGAGCAGTGTTTTTCAACCTTTTTTGGGCAAAGGCACACTTGTTTCATGAAAAAAATCATGAGGCACACCACCATTAGAAAATGTTAAAAAATTTAACTCTGTGCCTATATTGACTATATATAAAGTAATTCTCTTGAATAGGAATCAAATAAACACAAAGAAGCATGGTTTAACATTCAAGCATGGTTTAATATTTTTTTCTTTAATGGCGAACAAAAACGTTGCAGACCGTTCTCTGCTCAGCGGGGATCGATCCGCTGATCCCCCCTGAGTCGGCGGATGACAGCTCCGTCTCCGCACTGTGTGCGGAGAGGGAGATGTCAGAGCCCCGCTGCTCTCTATGGGGAATCGGATGAGAGCGGACCGCCTGTCCGCTCTCATCCGATCCCATCCGATCTGATCCCCACCCAGGACGGATGGAAAATAGGGTGGACACAGTCCGGCGCCCGCCTACTGGGTGAAAATTTGACATTAAAAAAAAACAAACTTTCAAATTTTTCAATTTTTCCCACGGCACACCAGGCAACATCTCGCGGCACACTAGTGTGCCGCGGAACAGTGGTTGAAAAACACTGATGTAGAGGGATTAAAAGGTGCTAATGAACCAAAAGTACTGCAATTGCATTCCAATTTTGAAGTTGTGGGAGTCCTCCATCCCACTACTGTGAAGCATTATTAGACTTTTTTTAAAAAAGCAACCTTAACCTTTTCTCAAAATTATTTTCATATTTTGCTCAAGGAGAAACATCCAAATCTCATTCTAAGTGATTCTTTTTTGGGGGGGAGGGGAGCAAGCTGGTAACCAGTTTAGATGTGATTGGTTTTTGGCAGGATTGTGTGATTTCATTGTTTTATAAACATGGACGGACATGGTTGGTCTCCAAAGTCTCTCACAGTCCTCAGCAGTTCCACACTACGATATTTTCTGGGAATATTGGTTAGTTATAATTTATATATTCTCCAATTATTATTATATGTCTTGTTTCTATACTGTTCTTATAATTTGAGATGTATATATGTCTTGTTATAAGTGTGGAATTCAGTTTATTTTTAAGAAAGGTAAATAGCTAATAACAATCTACATATATGCAGATCCCCTTCACCAGAAACTTTTGGTAGACCCTACTGAAACTCAAGCATCCTTCACGTGTTTCACCCAAGGAGGAGCTTTCAGATTTCACTTGGTGACAATTCTCTTATTAACATCCTTCTCTTTTCTGGGTACCAGTTCCAAGAGCTCCAGGAGCAAAGAGGGAAATACTCAGACAATCTGAAGATAAACCAGCATGAGATTGCAGATCTGACCAGGCTGGTCAATAAGTTGCAGTCTGAGAATGATGCTATTAAAAAGCAGGTAGGAGAGAATTTGTCACTTGCTATGTCTTTATTTGGGAGCAGATGGTCAACCATACCATATCTACAAGTGACAACAGACTAAACCAAAACACCTTACTATTTCTTGAGAACTTCAGTGTTGAAGGACGTTTTCCCCTTGAAGATCTTTCTGAGAACAGAAACTTTGGGTGGGGGTGGGGGGAGAATGCTAGCTTCTTTGGTCAGTTTGACCTGCTTCTCTTTCCTCTCTACTGAGCTGCCCTCAGTAACATTGTAGCAAAATCTGACTGGTGATTTTATTTGCCATTGTTTCGATATCCGTATCAATATCAGAAGCAGAGCAAATGGTGGAGCAAAGCTTCTGCCCTGGATGAAGTGGGGTGGGTGTCAGGAAGGCCAGCATTGTGTAGCTGCACCATCAGGAATGCCACCACCAATCCAGTGTTCTCACCAGTGCAACCATGTGACTTTGACCTCATTGCTGCCCCACCCCAGCCCTGCCCAGGTAAACAGCTCTGATACTAGTGTCAGGAGGTCAGTTCCATCCCACCACAGGTGCTGCTACTGATAGCTTAGAATTTAAAATATGACAACAGGCCTCCAAGATGGCTTCCAAAATAAGTAATCTAAGTCATTTGCAGAGTGGGGAAAATTCAGCCCTTTCTTCTTCTTTTGTCTTGGCCACTCTGCTCCCACAGCTTTGAACTGCCTGGATTTAAGCTTCTTTCATGGTTTTGATCCTTTCCCTCCAATCAGAACTTAACATTTTTGTTAATGGTTCTGAATTGAATGGTAGAGAAATGAGAAACAGAGAGAAACAGAAATTAGCTGATTCACCGATCCCTAGTCACCACATAATCTTACAGAATTTCCTCTTAAATCAGTTCAGATTTTTGTTTTGTTTTGCTTTGCTTTGTTTGACAGGTTGATATTTTGCAATCTGCCATTTGTGATGTTGAGCACCGTGGAGATGGTGCTCTTAAAGATGCTCGAGATAAGCACATTGAGCTGCAGACAGCCCTGCAGAAGGCCAAGGATGACCTAGCTGGCTTGCTGAGGGACTACCATGAACTTCTGAACACCAAGTTGGCTCTGGATATTGAGATTGCTACATATAAGACACTCCTGGAAGGGGAGGAGTACAGGTAACTGCGAATTATACAAAAATATATGGGCACACATGCAAACATGCTAAACATAGTTAAATGCACTGAGATTTATTTTAGCCTCCTTTATTTATTTTTGATTTGACTCCGATTTCATTAAAGGGCAACTTTGCTATAAGCAACATTCAGCAGCAGCCCTCAAGATGTGTGGTTGAGTCATTGTTGCAGTCTTGGATGGCAAGGAAGAGAGGTGAGGGGTTGGCGAAGCTGATGTGGTGCAAACATGCTAGTGGAGCCAATCTAATGCTCCTGCTGGTGCATTTGCACTGTACTGACCTCACAGCTTCCACCCTGTCTTCATCCTAGTATGCAGCAGTGACTCAGCTAGAGGACGGCCACGTGAATGGCATCGCCCCACCATGCCATCTGCTCCTGGGTCAGCCATGAAGACATGGAGCTGAAAACATTTTTGCCTGCCAGTGAAGGCCAACTAGGGAAGTGTCCATACAGATCTCTGTTAGCAACTCATTCCAAATTGTGAATGAGAAAGACTCTGCTCCTGGCCAGCAGCTGGATCCAGGCTGATCTGAAGCATAAGAGCCAAGTCCTAGGGGCCAGCCCTTCCCCGAAGTTGATGGCCATTGCCATTCAAATGGTGTCCGTGTACCCTGTCATGTGATCAGTTATGTGGGGAGGGGCTTACTTGCCCCCCCCCCTTGGAATTTTATTCAAGTTGGCAACCCTGATTTGAAACTGTGCTGATGACTTTTGTAGATCCTCTGGCTACAGCCTGATGCCAGGCTGCCCTTCTTGGAACACGGGACTTATCCACAGAAGACACACCTATGAACAGAGCAGGCCCTAGGCATTTTGCTGTCTGAAGTGAAGAGCAATTCCCCCGCATTCCACATTTAGAAGACCAGCAGCTGACCCTTACCCTTACCTCAACACCCATCCCGAGACAGTGCGCCTGAGGGCAGGAGACTTAATTAGGGACCAAGGGCACTCCTGTACTCTAGCACCTCAATGCTGTTTCAACACACTTTCACTAACAGTCCTAGAGAAAACACACACCTTAGTACAGTGGTACCTCGGGTTAAGAACTTAATTCATTCTGGAGGTCCGTTCTTAACCTGAAACTGTTCTTAACCTGAAGTACCACTTTAGCTAATGGGGCCTCCTGCTGCCACCGTGTCGGCACCATGTGATTTCTGTTCTCATCCTGAAGCAAAGTTCTTAACCCAAGGTACTATTTCTGGGTTAGCGGAGTCTGTAACCTGAAGCGTCTGTAACCTGAAGCGTCTGTAACCTGAAGCGTCTGTAACCTGAGGTACCACTGCACCTCAGTTTAAGAACAGTCTGGTTTAAGAACTATTCGGTTTACAAACTCCGCAAAACCGGAAATAGTGTCCTGGTTTGAGAACTTTACCTTTCTCTAGGAATGGAATCCGAACAGTGGAAGGGCATCGGTGGCAGAAGGCCTCATTAGGGAAAGCGCGCTTCAGTTTAAGAATGGTTTTGTTTTAAGAACGGACTTCCGGAACGGATTAAGTTCGTAAACCGAGGTACCACTGTATAGTTCTCCATTAGCTGCTGGTTAGGTAAGTCAACTCACAACAAGATGATGTCACATAATGCATTTTTCATCATCAAATGTTATGCAGGGACAGGAAGAGGAGACATGGTGCAGGCGTTGCTTAAGCAAAATTGGCTTCCACTTGTGCAATGGGGTTTCATTCTCCCTTCTCCCTCCATGCTCCCTCACATGCCCCCAAATGGGCTTGGTGTGGTTGGGAGAAGCCCCATCCCCAGAACAGTGCATGGGAGAAGTAAAAGTGTGATCTTCTGCCTGGCAAGCTACAATGCTTGTGTTAATGGGACACTCACCATAGTGCAACACTGAATTCCATCCATGGTGTTTCCAGTTTTGGAGATGGTCATGCCGTTCCGAGCGCAAACATTTCTGCGAAACACAGGCATCAAAACAGGAAACCATAATGGGGCAATCTGGTAGATTAAGATGACAATCAACTGGGCTAGCGTGACCTTAGATAAGCAATAAGTGATTTTAATTAAGATTGAACTTGTCTGATTGTATAGAAACTGGTACTTTTCAAATAAGATCTTGATGCACTGTGTGCTCTCCATTGAAATGAAGGGATGTTGTATTCCACCCTGCATTTGCAAAAGGCATGTGCAGCAGAATTGGCTGGGTGGATTCTGCTTCAAAGCCATAATCAAGGTAAACGAACAGCAATTGTGCATTTTCTTTTTTCCGCAACAGGATAGTCAGAGGAAATCTTGTTGCTATAGGTGAGTAAAACCAATGAGGTTGTGCTGGGCTTGGGCAACCTACTACATGCTCTTGTTGTTTCCTTTTTCATGTCTGCTGCCTTTATAACTTTTCTGCACAGAGAGAAAGAGAGAATGCTAGGGAGATTTCCAATGCAGTTTTCACCTCATGGCAACTTTTCTGTGTGTGTGTGTGTAACTTCACTCCTTCTCCAGGTTCTTGCTTTGTGTTCCTGCTTAGATCTGCTGAACCCCAGCCATTTTGATGCTTCACTGGCTAGACTTCCCAGATGATTATTTGGCATTCCCCAAATAATTTCTAGCAATCAACCAGACTATTCCCTTTATCGTCCCGAGGAATCTCAATATGGTGCACTCTTTGGCAGAAGTGATTCGTTGGGTTGGGCAGAGCTGTAACAGTAGCTTTCCAGAAGGCGGGTCATTATTGCTTCCTGGGAGGGAGAGGGAATGGGCTGAGGTGACAGTGAGGTCAGTGTAGTGCATCTGAATTTGTTCTGCCAGTGTGTTTGCACTGCACCAACCTCCCTACCACCTTCCCTCTGCCAGTAAGCAGCAGCAGCCCACCTGCTGGGAAGATAGCCCACCTGATTAACCACTTTTGCTCTTTGGTCAATTCCCAGTCTCCAGCATAAGGGCACAGTTCTGTTAGCACACTGATGGATCATAGAGTTAGAACTGATTCTCACATTAACTTTGTCCAATATTGGCCACTTAGATAGCTAATGAATGATTGTGCCAACACTGAAGGTGTCATGTCTCTGTGTTAAACTCCCACCTGAGTTGAAAGTGATCTGAACTGTGTTTAGAAAACTATTGATTTTCAGGTCATTGCACTCATCTGGTTCAAACTGACCTACTCCAAATGAAATCCACTTCATTCAGGCATTGCTATTCATTCACTCACACACAGAGAGAAAGAGAATGCCAGGGAGATTTCCAACGCAGTTTTCACCTCATGGCAACTCAGCAACAACAAAGCTGCAACGATAAGGTGATAATCAGGTCTCTTTCTGGCTGGGTCAGTTCCAATCTCACTTCTGAATGTTTCCTCCTTGCAGATGTTTTCAAGCCACCCTACACAGAGGGCTCTGCTGGATTTACTTCTTCAGGTGCACATGGTCCTACAGGTGGTGGATACGGTGGAGGACACAGTGAAGGACATTGTGGAGGTTATAGTGCAGGAGGCCATGGGAGCTACAAAAGGAGCTCCAGAAGTGCTGGAAACCACCCAAGGACTGTAGATAGTCATGTAGATGCAGGACATGCCTCTGCAGATGCAGAAATCTACTCGGGAACACAATACAGCTCCCAGAATGTGTCTCCATCTGCTTGTAAACCAAGTTCTCCTGTAGGCGTTGACAGTCCCACAACAGGAGGAAGAGCTGGCATAGGGGTAGACTGTGGCCCAGGTGCAGGTTTTAGCTCAGGAAGTGCACAAGCATCAGCCAGCAAGGGGCATGCCACTGGGAGTATAGGAGGAGGTTGCCCAGATGGAGGCTACCTGTCTGGGGGTTATGGACCACCTGGTGTCATCCCATTTGGAGCTGGATTTGGACCTAGGATTGCAGGTGGCCTGGGGGTTGTGGGTTGCCATCCTGGGGTAGGTGGCCCATCTATAGGAGGTTTTGGCTTTGGGGGAGAATCCTGTGTAGGAGTAGGTGCCCCTGTTGGTGTGTGTATTCCCAGAGCCATAGGTGCTCCTGTAGGCGTGTGTTGCCCTGGAGCTATAGGTGCTCCTGTAGGTGTGTGTTATCCTGGACCAGTAGGTGCCCATGTTGGAGTGTGTTATCCTGGAGCAGTAGGTCCTTTCAGAAATACTGCAATTTAACATGATTCATATAAACTCCTCATATTTTGAATCAAATAGTTTTCAATCTGCAAGTACTACCTGAAGCAGTGATCAGGGCCCCTGCCAGTGCTATAGGATTTCGTGACACATGAAATCTTTTAAACAACATTCCTCCTTTCCTTGGGCCATTCTGTAGTTGCACTCTAATGAATCCACTTCTTCCTTAAAGTACGGTGTCTGCTGCTGCGTCACATATACTTTCCCCACCTTTTCTTCCTTTTTTATTTTTGACACGGACATCTTCATGAAACATACCCTCAATAAAATCAATCATATTTTTTTTGTTTTATTCGAAAGTACAGGTGAAACTCGGAAAATTAGAACATCGTGGAAAAGTTCATTTATTTCAGTAATTCAGCTTAAAAGGTGAAACTAATATAGGAGATAGACTCATGACATTCAAAGCGAGATATGTCAAGCCTTTATTTGTTATAATTGTGATGATCATGGAGTACAGCTGATGAAAACCCCAAATAACAATCTCAGAAAATTAGAATATTAAATGAAATCAGCAAAACAAGGACTGCAAATAGAGCAATATTGGACCTCTAAGAAATAGAAGCATGCATATGTACTCCGTACATATGTACTCGCTTTGCATGTCGTGAGTCTATCTCATATATTAGTTTCACCTTTTAAGTTGAATTACTGAAATAAATAAACTTTTCCACTATATTCTAATTTTTCGTGTTTCACCTGTACCTCTTTAAAAAGGCTTTGTGCATTGGTTCATTTTTTAAGTCTCTCTTTGTGATGTAGACAACTTTAAATGACACCTTCGCTTCTGTACCGTTCTGACCAATACAAGGATATGTGTAGCTCCCCCCTCCTAGTTCATTGTATCCTCCGTATGTTTGGACTACAATGTCCTTCTCTTACTCTGGTAATGTAAATGGTACAACAACATCATTGTCAGACTCTTTTGCAATACAAAGCAAAAATATTTCAAGCAGAAAACAGCTTCAGAAATCCAAATGCACAAAATCTACAAGTATTCATATAGTATTTCTAACTGATTTGTAGTGCAAAATGGATAGGGGGCGGAATATAGAATTTATTGGGAAAGACTGCAATGGTGAAAAGTGGGTGAGGGAAAACTGGAGATCAATAGTAGAGACAGGAAGTAAGGACAGAGTAAAGGGATTGGTGTCCATCAAGAAAGATGAGCCAAGAATAAGAAGCTCAGCATCTTGACCACTCAGAGCACTAACACCACCTCCCCTCCGAAACACACACATATTCTAAGGGCTTTTGAATGCTGAACCATAATCAGAGAATTTCCCCCATCACCATGAGGACTAGAGATGTGCTCCTCAAAAAAAGAGATGGAAAACCTGGCTTGGTTTATTTTCAAGATTCAATTTGTGCCACCACATTCTTCCCCTGTCAGGTTAATTCTGTATTACATGGCATGACAAGTGACCACAGAAATGTTTAGATGCCCTATAAGTAGTAATTATGGTCATTCATAGCAAATGATGGGTTTCCCTCAAAAGTTGCATTTCATAACATCACAAGAACACTCCATTTAAGTGATGGTCATTGTGTAAGACCAAAAGGCCTTCTTCATGTATCATTTTTTGCCATCATTGAAAATGCATTAGATTACACAAGCTCTGTACTTGAGGTTGGGGTTCTTCTCAAGTGTTCTTTCCAGGTTCTGTGCCTACAATATTTGTCGTTGGTGGTTATTTCTCATCTCAGTGCGTAAAATTGTTGCAGCATGGCATTCGGCTTTTCAGCATTGCCAGAAATCCCTATGTCTCTGTTGTTCTCTACAATAAAATGCATGGACAACCAAATGGTTGCTTGTGATCTTTTACTAATGGCGTGTCATGGAATCAAATACTGGAAGAAAACATGTGCTTAGCTGGATCTTTTTCATTTTGCTTCCTTCTTTGCAGCAGTTGCCTCTGCTCAAAAGATAAGATGATCTTGGTTGGATAGAGAGATACAGGACAAAGGCCCTCAAATTGTGGTCTGTGGAATAATGGTGGTCCACAAGCTCCATTAAGGCATTCCATGAAAAGTTTCAGAGCATTAAAAAAACAACCACCCACCTTAACTGGCCACTGTACTTGATTTATTTCATTTTATGATGGCGATTGAGGTGGTTTTGTCCAGGGCTGGATTACTGGGGCAGAGGGGTCAGGGGAAGCCAGATCTGGGAGCCATGGTTTTCATAAGCAGGTATGACAGTCTGGTAATGAGCTATATTTGATTTGTAGTACCATAAAAGTTTATTAACTGGTTTGCTGAGAGCACCAACAATGTTCAAGTGGTCTGTGCGGGGAGGAAAATTTAAGATTCACTGTTCTGGGATGTCTAAAGATGCTTGTGGTGGGATAATAGAGTATCCAAAGCTGTTTTCCAGTCTTAAAGTTCAGTTGCGTCCCGAGGCCCCAAGACCCACCCCCAAAATAAATACACACGGACACTTATATTGGTTTAAGTTTTGGGGCAAAATTTTTGGCCATAACTTTATTGAAATACAATCACGTGAGCGGTATTGGCTTAGGCATTGACTCCCCACTATAACTGGCTCCACCTCTCAGGGTGATTGTCCAATGGGGTAAACCAAATGAGGGAGCTAGGTCGATGAGGACCAACCTAAGCTCACCCTGGGGTTCCTGTGGTCCTGGCATGTCCCTAGCCCCTCAAGCGGACTTCGGAAAGATCCAGGACCCCCAGATTCCTTTAACGGAATACCCAGTTCCTGGAGGGGCAGGTGATGGCCGCACCTCCCCTCCCCACAATCCAACTGAGCCAATGCCTAACTGCCACCTTACAAGTTGTGACGATTTGCTAAGGGGTAGGAGAAAACCAAATGGCTAAAGCCAATCTGCCAAATGGAAAAATTCCTACCCAACCCCTGTTCCAAAACAGGCGACCCAAACCAAAGCAAGGCCAAGCGACTCTACCTAAACTAAGGAGGGTGGGCGGGTGTTCAACAGTGCAAAGCAAGTGCCCATCCTTGCATCACACTGCTGTTTTTAAAGCCCCTGGGATCACGCCTATGAGGTGAGCTCTTGGGTCCCGTGTGCAACCAGGACCCTCTGTTATGAGGATCCCATTTCTCCACATTTCCATGGCAGTTTGCAAATTATTTTTTTAAAAAACTCAAGAAAACGTCACCAGCATTTTAGTGCAAATTTCTCCTAGTATACATGTTTTTATGCAGTTTTACCATCTATCTATCTATTGCAAAGAAACTGCTCCCATTATAATGGATTTTTATATTATTTTCACTAATATTTGCATTTGCATTTACAGTGGTACCTTGGTTTGCATACATCTTGGTTTGCATACATTTTGGATTACAAACACGTCAAATGTGGAAGTGTGTGTCCCAGTTTGCAACCTTTTTTTGGATTACAACCCACTTTTTTCCCAAACACATTTTTTGGGAGGCCCCATTGGCGAAAGCGCGCCTTGGGTTACAACCTGTTTTGGTTTACAAACGGACCTCCAGAACGGATTATGGTTGTAAACCAAGGTACCACTGTATATGCTGGGTTTCACTTGCCCAAGGGATGGATACATCTGTCAGTACTTGTTGCTCCCAACTTCTCATCTTTGCAATCTTAAATTCCATTTTCCATATTCCTATAGCAGTCTGGGGTTGTTGTTTTTAAATCCTCATGAATATTTGTCAGTATTTTAGTGTGCGTTTCTAATATATACATTTCTGTATGAAATTTTGCTTAATGTACACACTTTTGCTTGCAATCTCCCCCTATGGAATGCATTTCGTATGTTATTTTCACTAACCCGCTTTCCCCCTAATAAGCATGTTCCCAAATGGATGTTTTAATGATCCCACATCACACAGTTTAAGTGATACAAGTGTGACCTTTATTCTAATGCATAACTGTCATCTCATGCCATCTTTATAAGTTGGGCACAAAGTCTGCTGATTTTATAAATTTGGTCTCAGAATGTTCACTTCAACTGAGCGCAGTTGTAACTCCTGACCTTATTTTTTGTTTTTAAAAAAATACACACTGCTTGGTTGTTAAAATAAACCTAGCACAATCCTCTGTGTGGTTTACAGCAATATATAATATCATTGATGTTTTGTCTAAAGGACATAAACTTTGGATAATTATTTGCTCCGTCCACTGACAGCCCATGATTAAAGTTATGGTTGTGAAAGTCAAGATGTTCAGATTTTGTACCATAGTTATTACAAAATAAAACCAGACCCACCTATTTGTGTAGTGACTCAAAACTTACTACATTAAGAGCCAATATATTATACTCCAGCCTGTACACAGGAAATTTTGGTCACCCTCTTTGCAGAAGTGGCTTGCGGGGCAGGGGTGGCGCGGACAGAGCCACTAGGCTAGCTTCCTGGCAGGTGGGCCAGTGTTGCTTTCCAGGAGGGAGAGG